AAGGAGGCTTTCTTCTCAGTTTCTCACCCTGTCTCAGCAACTTAGAAATTTGTCTGAATTTGCATTCTCTTGTCCAAATCCCTGAGTTAAGAGCTCAGTGCAAACACCAGCTACGTGCCACCGTCTCTCAGACCAAGAGGGCTGCATTCACCCCATGGCTGCAGACCCATCCTTGGGGAGATGTGTGGGGAAAGCTCCAGGTGTGCCATACCTGCAGAGCTGATGTCCTTCCCCATCTGCCCAAAGGTGCTGCCCGTGGCTCTGTGCAGTATTTCCTCTGCTGGATCTCTGCCTCTTTCTGTGCTGCTGAAGAGGATGGTTTTTCTCCCTTTCCTATTCTCCCTCACTCCTCTGCTCTCTCTCCTTGATTTATTTCTGAGTTAACGAGTGATCATTCACCTGAGAAGAACCTCTGGGCCATTTTCTTTTCTCTGCTATGCCCGTTCCCCCATACTAGCCTTACTACCTTTTACTTGTCGTGCCGTTATTTAACATATGAAGATGGTTTGGTCCTTTTATTTCAGAAGATGGCTACGATTCATGTTCCTTGATGTTATATTAAAACTCTAATGTGACGTTTTACTACTGTAGATTGAAAGTAGGGTGCTTTAGGGTGGGATAGCCAACGGGGCAAGAAACGCAAGACCCATACGGGTTACTTTAAAAAGGTTTTAAATGAAAACAACTACAAAAATCACTGTAGCACTATGTAAAACTCCAGATGATAATTCAACTGACTATTAAACGGAGCTGTTAGTAATCCGTGGCTCTGGCAAACGGGGGTGTTTGTTTATAGATTTGGTCCTGCTGATGTAATCTGGTGGTGGTGGATGGACGCACTCATCCTTTGAACTTGGTGCCTCTTCCCACAAGTTTAGGTGTCTGCTCTGGGTAGCCAAGTACCAAAACACAACTAGAACCACATCCCACACTTGCTACCTGCTCCATGGCCATGGGATGGCATAGATACCCGCGACATTTGGGTTTTGGGAAGGATGACGTGCCTTCAGCCAGGGGCTCTCAGTCCTTGTTTTGGAAACCTCCATGAATGCTGGGAATGTGGGAGCAGAGTCTCGAATTAACCTGTTTTTATTCAGCTATAATGTGAATGGATGGTGCTATCTGGTGGCCAACCACCCCTGGGAACTTTGGGCTCCATTTGGCAGACTTTTGACAGGGGTCCAGCAGTGTAAAGAACACCGGCTGCCTACAGGTGATTTGAAAATCAGTGCCTGAGCAGATATAGCAGGTAATAAGGATGCCTTAGGAGTCTTGTATAGTGTGATTTTTGTTTCTGCTGCTCACGACAGCTACAGCATGCCCATAGTTGGCCCCTTCACCAAGATTAGAGTATTTTCCCACCAGCTCTGTTAAGTATCATGGAACAACTTAATTTTTTTCTCTCTTCCCACTGCTAAATTGCAGGAAAATAAGTTAAAAATACACCCAATGCTTTCCTCCTGCTATTTTCCACACAGCTAAGTGCTGTGGCAGCCACTGCACTATAACTTGTGGAAGAGAAGGAGGAGGTTGGTGATGAGGTGGAGGAAGAGCAGAGGGGGGCCATGTGTTTCCAGGGTGTGTGGTTGCAAGTGTGAGAAGTCCAGCCATCCCATCTAGCAATTGGCAACTCTGTCCATGGCAGAGGAGTTGGAACTGGGTGATCTTTAATGTCCCCTCCAACCTAAGCCATTCTATAGTGCTATGAACTATTCAACCATGGAATCATGGAATGGCTTGGTTTGGAAATGCTGTCTCCTCAAGGGTTGTCTGGTTTGGAAGCAAGAGGATAAATTCACTCAAAAAATGGCAAAGTGGGCTGTAAGGGATGCACCACCAGCTGAAGCTAAGCAGGAGCTTTAGGGCCTGGAGAAGGGGTAGGCAGAGCCCAGCCTTGCTCCTGACAGCATTCCCCAGCTCCCTAGCAGCAAACAGATGTGTAATGAGTGTTGCTGTTGGCCATCCTGAAAAAGGAGTTGCTAGAAGGGGTTTCTTAATTAGAGAGTGGACATGAATGACGTAGCAGCACAGGAGCCCTTACACAGGATATCATGTCCCCATGCTCCCAGGATCTGTCTCATTTTTTAATGCTGTGTGGTCTTCTTGAATAGTGTAATTGCTGTCAAAGTTTTCCCAAATCCAGCCTGCTGTCAAAGCTTTCCCAAATCCAGCCTGACAGTTGGAAGCACCACCATCCTTGCTGAACTGTGTACCCTTTGTCTTGGGAATGCAGAGGTCGGCCTCTTGCTCTGAAGTTTGGTACTTGGTGATGAGGGGATGAGATGAGAAACCAGCTCTTCACTTGGCTACTGTCCTGGACATTAATCTAGGTGCAAAACTTGTACCTGGAATCCTGGTTGCTTGGTGGCTACCTCCATGCTGGAGGCTGCAGAGCCTCGTAATGCCCTGTTCTCTGTAGGAGTTCCAGTCCTTCCTGACCTTTCCACTTGCTCAGCCATGACTCACCTTCTCCGCTGTCTGCAAGGCAGGCATGGCAGAGGAAAGACAAACAGCTTCCAGCACGGATTTGGAGCCAGGGTTCTGCACTGTGTGCTAGGGCAGGTGAGTGCTAGGTGCCAGGATGCAAAGTAGGGAACACTGGCCACCAACTGGTGTCTTCTGCCTTGGGGACATGGGGTGTCTGTGGGATTTGGGGTCTTCCATGGGACAGGGATCATCTGGTACTGCGGCATCAGTTCATTTTGGTCCCTGTGTCCTTGCACCTGGGCACCACAGTGAGGTTGCCCACTTAATGCAGGGCTTTTTTGTGCACCTATACAAAAAAGATCTGGTAGAAAGGAAAGAGGGGAAGGAAGGGAAGAAGGGAGGGAGAGAAGGAAGAGAGAGAAGGAGGAGGGGGGAAGAGAGGAGGGGAAGGAAGGGAAGGATGAAAGAAGAGAAGAGAAGAGAAGAGAAGAGAAGAGAAGAGAAGAGAAGAGAAGAGAAGAG